CGTAAAATAAGGCCTTAGCCTGGTGCTCTCCCAACACCTTCTCCTTGGAATGATATTCTTTCCAGGCCTCGCACAGCTTGCCTTGTTGCTTTTTCTCTCGACGAACATTGCAGATTCATGTGTCGTTAACTCCTCTAACTCGGGATGCGAATCTTCTTCGGACAATGATGCTTCTATAAGCTGTCGGTGTGCACCTGGCGACGAATGTTTTCCCTCAGCGGACACTTGGGCCCATCTAAATACCAGTGTTTCGGGACGTTTAGTCAATGTTGTCTCCTCTGCTGCGTATTGTAATAATCTTCCCGCTGGATGCTCCGATGCGCAATGGGCTAGCTCTGAGTTCAGAAATAACTTACCGGGTGCGATGAACCAGGTATGTTCAATAGTTCTTCGGACCATCCGAGTTGTCCTGAGCTAAGTCGCATTTTAGGTGAACTGGGAGCAAGTTCGCAACCTGTCTACAATTTTTTATATTCCTGCCTCAATCTGTTTTCTAGGATTACTTCTCAAGCCCGCCGTCAGTCTGTTTTCGTGCTACTATACAGCCGGCTCCAAATACGACCCAGGATTGCAGTCCGGGGTCTGGAAATGTTCCATTATTCGCAATTCTTGCAGAATCTGTTGAAGACATTCAGGTGAGGATTCTCGCATCCCTTGTAGCGCGTATTTTAATCCTGGATATCTTTACTTTGATACAGATCGGAGTCAATTTCGCCCGGGACTATGATCTCCGTTTGGTCATCAAAGCCTCTGGACATGACTATCTCGGACGTTCCACGGCGAAAAACGCTCTCCTTATATCTACTCACAAACTCCAAAATATAAAATTTTCAGACCATTTCACCGTCAAAGGAAAAGATTACGGATCCGTGGTTACAGTAGAGAGCGGAGTGGCCTTGAATACATTGTATGCCGCGAGCAAAGCGCAGGGAAAAATATTTGTCGTAAGGAGTTTCATGATGCTTAATAACCGAATTAGTAAATTTGATTTCAAGGGAGGTACTGCTGCTTCTGTTGTTTATGCAGGAGGATATGTTCAAGGCGCAGGTAATACGATCTCATTTGGACTCAAATTAATGAACATCACTGACGACTACCAGGCCATAGCGCTCTTAGCCCGGTAAAAAAAATCCAATCTATGTACTCATCAGCGAATCTCGCTGACATCATTAATGTAAGGCATATGGACTGGCGGTGGACAATGTCCTACAATTCACTGTTGTCGTTGCAAGTGGTGATATTCTGACTGTCAACGAGGAAGAGAATTCAGATTGTACGCTCTTTTCATAACGCCTTTTCGCCGAGTCTCAATTTCTTCATGATTACGCCTACATGCAGTGTTCTGGGCCATGAGAGGGGGAGGAGCAGGAAGCTGGGGGGTGATTGTCAATTTGACTGCCCGCGTCTTCCCAACCTTCAATGCCACCATTTGTCAATCTAACATTACCACGGCCGAGCCCTCCGCCATGGGATCCGTGGCGGCTGTACACGCGCGCCGAATCTTTGACCTCGATCCTTTTCGGGCTGGGCAATATTTCTGGGTAAACACCGTGAATTGAGACTTGTACGAACTACTAACGATACAGGGTATTTAGGTGGTACCTACAGGTATAACTATCCCTAATGTCGGGCCGCTTATAGCCATGCAGGTCTCGACATACTTCCCTGATAATACACCTCTGAATACCGCAGAAGCCGCGTACCAGCCGTTTATCGATGAAGTGGGTAATCTGACGAACGTCCAAATAGAAACTGCTTGTAGGACATCCCTTATCAATGATGCTCTTTTCCAAACGGACGATGTCGTCGGGCAGGATCTGATCTTGGGATCGAGATTATTCCCAGAGAGTTTGTATAGGTCATCCCCAGACGCTATCGGGCAATTGTACACTGAACTGCTGGAGAATGGAACGCAACAGTATGTATCTTCGCGTCGGTGCTCTCATCATTGCCATAACTGAGCTCCATCGAATATAGAATCCTCGGCCACTTGGTTGCCGGAGGCAAAGTTGCGGAAAATGCTAATGCAGACATGGCTCTCAATAAAGCTTGGAGAACCGCCAAAACACACGTGTGTCCTCCCTATCTGTCTATCCCCCTATCAACTTTACAGACTTGTTAATGCGAATTGGCTGTAGGTTATACTCGTCGATGCTTGGAATGATTCTTTTGCGATCCCTGAAGCCATATCCGAACAACGGCTCTTTACGACAGGTAATCAACGACAGGCATTAACTTCTATCGCCGGTCAGGATAGTGGATCTTACACTAACGAAGGGGATCGATTGGAGCCGGATTTCCAAGTGACGTTCTATGGGTCGCAGGCGAACTATGCGCGACTGGAAAAGGTCAAGGCAAAATATGACCCTGGGGATCTTTTCATTGTAGCTGCTGGGGTTGGGAGCGAAAGGTGGAACGAGGCAGGATTCTGCAGGGTTAATTGACGTTCGGGAACCATCCGAGAAGTTATCTCGAAATAGGGACACTAGACATCATTAGCGTCTCCGAATTCTCGGAATATTTTTTTATCGCTCGAGCCTCGGTGGTTCCGACTAGTGCTGACAGAAGTACTATTACCGGCTACCCTGAGAGCAGAAAATAGGTGGACGGAGACTTTCGAAAGCCAGCTAGACCGAATGCCCGAGGACACCCTTTCCTGAGACTCTCCATCATCGTATTGCTTCTAAACTCGCAATTCTACATTGTTACATTGTGGAACTGCGATATTGATGATTTAGCTGAGACGGCCGTAATGATTGACATACAGTACGTTGAGGAAAAAAAAAAAGTGCAAATAGCTCGGGAAGGTGCAACGAGGCAAAAGACCACGGTACACATTTCTCTTGTACGTTATTACACGACTGTCAGAGTCGATGTATACGGGGTTCCCAAAAATTGAAGATAACACTAAATAACGTTTGTCGATGAAGGAGTTTAGGTGCCCGATAAGCAGGGACAAGTTAAACGTGCTAAGGTTCGATTTGGCTTTACAGGGTTACCTAACCTCATTGCAATAGCTCACTAAATTTCTGCCAACCAGTCCCCGACAGTAGACCACCACTTTTCCGTCTCGTCAACCATTGGTAAATGTCCCGCGCCCTCAATCACCTCAAGCTTGATTTCTTCTCCGCCGGCAGGGATCCGCTTTGCGTTCCACGCGTCTCTCAACTTAGACATTCCCGCTGAAACTTTCCCTCCGCCGTCAAGACTTCCCGCAACCAATAACACCTTGGTCTCAGGAGCGCCAAGCAGAGATCTATTCATACCGGTACCAGCTAGTAAATCATAATCTTGCAAGGCGGAAGCACCGAGGGCGAATCCTTCCAAGGGTGTGGAGGTGACTTGAGAAAGAAGGACTTCGGAACGGGGACGACGGCCCTGAATGGAGCTGACATCGCCAGAAGAAGGCCGCGACAGGATTTGCCCGGGGAGGTACATCTCCATCGAGCATCGACTTGGAGCTGGGAACCACCTCGGAACCGTCACGTCCGCCAACTTGCTCATACCAGCCTCACCGCCTCCGTTGGCCCTAGCAAGTTGGATCCTCTCGTCCCAAGCAGCTTTGTTACCTTCCGGAGTCCGCGGGCCAGTATCGCACGATACAATGGCTTTCGCTAAGGTGGGATACATAGCTGCGAATGCGAGGGCAGCCGCTCCACCCTGGGATACACCTATAACGGCATGCACTTTCGGACTTGCTTCTGTAGTACTGCGTACGGATGAAGATGACGGCAAGATAAGTGAAGAAATAAGGAACGCAATATCAGACGCGAGAATTGGAATGGTGCATTTGATTCCGTTACTCGAGCTCGATGATGGGAAGGAAGACTTTCCGTGTCCACGTTGGTCGTGCAGGAGGACATTGAATGTCTTATATTTTCCCAGATATAATTCGGTGGGGAGGATACCGTCTTTCCCTAGCGTTTCCACTTCCTTTGCACCGTGTGGACGAGGTGCCAGCATATACGTTAGAGCCCACTCCCACATCCCGGTATTGGTCAGAAGGGAGTTGGCACAAACGAGCCACGGTGCGTCAGGATCGGTTACATGGGTCTCAGCGTAGAGAAAGTGTCCTTCCTCGAATACACCATTAGCGGGATCTACTGGTAATGGTACTTTGAATGTAGACTTGGTTGCAGGCCAAGCTGGAGGGCAATCTGACATTGCTGCGACATCCAGAGAGACAAGGAAGCGGGATACCATATTGTATGAGGCTACAACGGCGGCAGACTCAACGAGCAAGTCCTGCGTGAGGGATTCCGTATCTTCCGATCCAGCAGTGATAGAGCTGCGAAGAGCATCTGCTAGAGCTAGGGTGACTTCTGATGGAACCTTGACGCTACAGGTAGAGTGATGCGCAAAAGCCAAGGCAGCTGTTTGCAAAGGAGAGAGAATTCCGGGAGAGGGAATGGTTGCGGTATCCCGGATGAGATACAGCTGTTCCGTAGTCAGTCCAGCATCTCTTCCTACATGCTCATGATGAATCCATTCGAACGCAGCATGGTTAATTGCTGCAACACGTAAGATCTGTGCGAAGAATCAGTATTACTGCGTCGTAGAAGCTTGGTGATTTACTGGCCATCAACTCTCGAATATCTCCGCTCAGCTTTCCCTTAGTCCTGACTGCCCCCAAGAGCGAATTCCAGCCATCGGCAACGGGAGGAACATGCAACAAAGTTCCGTCTAGCGGTGTAAGACCTCTTGCTCCTCGCCGTTCACGGATCTTATCAGCAATGGGAGATGTGTTAGGTTCTGGATACCGTCCGGGTACAAGACGTGAAACTGCTGGCATTCTGAGAGGTAGCGTGAAACGGAGCAGGATGAAGAAGGAAGAGTGCAGTTATCAAAATTGGTGATCAACACCCCACGAGGAGCGGATCATCTTTTTTCCGTTACCCAGACTTCGAAGTAGTCTTGGTCCAGTTTCAACTTAAGAGATATCGCACAATCCAAGGAGAAAAAATAGGAAAGACACAAAAACCAATCTCAAATTGGATGACCTCCCTGGCTGGGAGTCGAACCCAGCTTTCGCGCGTTCAAGGAATATGCAACATTTGCAATGACAGGCGCGTGTACTAACCGATATACTACCAGGGAATAGCTAAATTTTGCTAAATTCAGTCCATGATTAGACCGATAGACAACTAGTTACCAAGATTAACCTCTCCCTAGGCCTTGTAGGTGTGTTCTTTCAAATTTGTCTGATTTTCTATCCAAATTACTGCGCTAATCAAATTAGCTGAAAGCTTGAGCGCCCTTCGTGCAGCTGGACTTTGGCTATGCAAAGCATAATCCAACAACTTATATAAATGCTAAGGTCTTACGTGTCAGAAATGGATGCATCGACAGGTGTAAGCTTCTAGGGTGGGGGGAAATAAAAATGAACAATCAACAAACTAGCCTTCGCCGAATCACAAAAGAGATGCCATATAGAAACAGAGTGCATCCAAAGTACATCTGTATCAATTTCCAGTTGGAGGCAAGGGGACGGCTTCTCTTTTGAAATCGCAATGGACTCGACGGGTACGTCGTCTCTTTAAAGTGCGTTTAGTTTCAAACGTGGAAACAAGAAAATTGATACCCTTTCCAGACGTCGTTACCTGCGAACAATAGCTATTTACTTATGAGTGATAGTGGAAGGTATGGTACTTGTTGAAGTTCAACGTTCAGCGATAGAGTGTGTGAAAATTCAGGATTGCGTAAGCAGAGTCATCGCAAGGCCTCATCAACAGTTCAATACCGCCGACACCCCTCCTCAAGACAAAAACAAGGTAATTATCATCGAATCTATGCCTCAAAGTCCTCCAAATGCATTCTATGGTCCACTCGCTTTTCAATGGTGTCAATTTCATGCTGGAATTCTGGGTTTTGTTGGTTGGATTGGCTTGGAAATCGACGGATGACTTTTTGAGGGTCGGAGCTTTGATGTGATTCTAGTGCTGACGATTTTCTTTGCTCTCTGCCCTCCTCGCTTTAGATGGTGAGTTTCTAGTAGCATTTGGACCGAGCATGATTAACTGATTGAAATTTAAACGAGTATAGAAGGTCGAGATCGACTCCTTCTCCGGCTACCGTATCTACCCTTCAAAGGGCAAACTTTTCGTTCGCGGGGACAGCAAAGTTGGTTAAACTTTTTTGCGGGTCAGCTCTCAGGATCTCAAATATCATTCATCCAGGTTTTCCGTTTCGCCAGCTCGAAAAATGCCTCCCTCTTCTTACAGAGGAAGAACCCCCGTAAGATTGCCTGGACGCAGGTCTACAGGCGCATGCACAAGAAGGGTATCACGGAGGAAGTTGCCAAGAAGCGTTCGCGCCGAACTGTGAAGCACCAGCGAGGTATTGTTGGTGCTGACCTTGCCGCCATTGCCGCCAAGCGTAACCAAACCGCTGCTGTCCGCTCACAAGCTAGATTGGCGGCTATTAGCAAGGCGAAGACAGAAAAGAAGGACAAGGAGAGCAAAAAGACTAAGGTACATGCTTTTTGTCGTTTTCATAGTCCTGGGGACTCATGGATTCTATTTTTTTCGCTAGACTGCTTCACGACCAGCTGGCTCCACCGCACCCAAGATCTCTAAACAACAAATGAAAGGTGGTAAGGGTGGGCGATAAACGATGAGCTCTTAGTGGATCACTTCGTTTTTGTATGCTCTGTTACATATGTTATGTATGCGCTTCTGCTTTCCATTATGCTAGCATGCATCTCCTCCTTCCATTTGCATCAGCCGACGACACCGGCTGCTTCTATGTACCACAGTACCACGAGCATTTCATTGTCAATGAGGGCGTACTTCAAACTGAACCTCCGATTTACAGCAGTTATCTATTCTAATCTTGTCCGAGCATTGTGAAGGTTGCCTTCATCGATTATGGATCATCCCCTCTGCCGCTCCTGTCCTATCATCGATTCTCAGTGTCATTTTACTCACACTACGATTACTTAGGATCAGTGGCGAATCTGTGAGAGCCTGACACGTCTTCCTTCGTCTTCTGATTCTGTCGACGTCCTTGAGCGCTAACCAAATGCAGTTCTACAACGATCTCGAGCATGCTGCTCAACAGATTAAGCGGGACTCAGAGGCAACTGCCAGGGCCCTCGAGGAAATGAAGCATACTGCTTCACAAATTATGATCGACATGGAGAGAGCAAAGAGGATGAGGCAGGAGCAACTTCGAGAGGCCTATCAGAGCGCGGACTTAATGAAGCGGACGTTGGATGGCATGCTTCACACAGACAACGGGAGAAGAAGGTAGATCGAATTCAAAGAAAAGTTCGGACGCTGACCACATTCTGCCATTAGAGATTAAAGATCGTTTATTTTCTCACCGCTGTCCTGCTGGACATCGGATCCATCCTGGGTCCTTATTTTGGTTCACTCAGAGGATAAGTGTTTATTGATACAGCTGTTGTACAACAAATAGTTTACACAAAAGTTCTTCTATGTGGGTATCCAACACATCAGAACGACTGCTCAAGTAGAAACCAACGCTATAGTCCACGTTTGGTGATGACGACTTGCATTTGGGGCCTGATCGTTATAAAGTACGATTTCAAGTTCTGCGGCCAGCTCTGCCAATCATACCCATCCGCGAATCGAAAGTCAAAGTTTTGCAGTAAGAGAGACATAATCATCATAATCTCTTGTTTTGCGAGGTTCCTGCCTGCGCAATTTGCTGGGCCATAAGAGAATGCAAGAAAGGCGTTCATGTCGTTTTTGAATGCTTTTTCTGGGTCATTACAGCTTGATGGAAGCCATCGTTCTGGAACAAATTCATCTGTGCGGGGAGAAAAATATGACGAGTTGAGGTGCAAGACTTGAGGAGGAACCCAGACTTGAGTGCCTTCAGGCAGAAAGCTGTAGAGAATTGAGTTGTATAAGTTCCGAGTCCAAGCGAATAATAAAGGACAAGAATACGAACTGTCCAGCAATCTCCGCGCCTCCGCTGCCATATGGTACCTCTCGGGCACCACTAACGGGAGCAGGCGGCAAAAGACGCAATGATTCTTGCCTAGAGATCAGAAGCATGATTTTAAGTATTGGACGAAACAAACAATTCAAAATCATCACAAACATGCAAGCAGCCAGGTACGGAAGATTTGAATGCTTTGATACGTCGAGAGGGTCCGAACCAGGCGGATAGGCATTGTCAATCTCTTGCCGCACGCGCTTGTAACATTCGGGATGTGACTGTAAAATGAAAGGAAAGGGAAAATCAGTACTGTTCTCAGAACTATATTAACCCAAGTCATCTGTTCGTTTCAGCCCAATACTCCAGTGCAATGGAGCATTTCTATCACCGTAACAAAGCCGATGGCTTTCAGTACATATTATCGATGACCTGGGTTTGAATGGAAGCTTACTCACTAAAAGAAGCCAAAATCTATGAGGCGGATTTAGCTCTTTACTGCTTGTACAAGTGTATGAAAAGAGGGCCCTGACTTACAACGAAGCTAAGGCACAAGACGAAGTATCGCTTCCAGCAACCACAGTGAGAACCGCATCGGCTCCAACCTCCGCTAAGCTAGGTTTGACTTTCTCTAAACCCGCTTCATCCATCTGAAGGGAAAGAGTCAATTACAAAGCTTACGTTGATGTTGGAGTTAACAGTACACTCACAAGATGATACCAAATGTCTTTCGTTTGAGCAGGTGCCTTCAAGCGATTGGCAGACCATTTCCTGGCGATTGGCCAGAGAGGCATAGAGAACCAGGGAAGTCGATCTCTGATGTCTGGAATCCATGGTAAATGTGATAATATTCCTACACATCTGATAACAGACAACAGTCAATGAGCAGTCGACATCGCGAGTCATAACCACATGTCGCGGGTAAATTAACATACCTCATGTGCAGGTGCAGGCCAGGCCAAACTTTGTGTAGATCTCCCTCTTGCATCATGTTGGAACCAGCTCCAAACCTGAAAGCGGGAGTCCATCAGACGGTGCGCGCGATTAGGAGCAGGACCATTCAATCACCCCAAGTCACTCATAAAATCAAATCTAAGACGACGTCTATGAGAACGCCTGACAGAATAACGCAACAAGAAATGGAACTCACGAGAAATAGTTGAGCCATTGCGTAATATCGACCACCCCTTTGGATACAGAGATTTGAGATTCCAACACTTCGACAAGCTCGGACGCCCGTCGTGCAATAATGTCTTCATACTCATGTAGAGCCTGAGTACTCATAGCGCGATTCCATAACCGACGACGGGCGGCATGTGCATCCCCATTCATTGTTACCAAGTTCTCCGGTCCACTTCTCACTCGAAATCTGATGTACGCTGTAGCCGTCGGTGGTTGATGAGTGCCGGAGCCACTCATACAAGTAACGATAAAATACTTACCCGCTCCTTTTGGTAAACCTCCACTTCCGAGGACAGAACCCACGGAGTCAACGTCTGCCACAGAAATTTCGTTTGGCGCTATGCAAAGATACCCAGTGCCTTAGTGTCTGAACTGCACTAATAACGTAAAGTTGTGGCGTACCAACTCGCACGACAGGCCCATACTCAGCGTGAAGGGCTTTGAAGATATTACCTTGTTCTCCGTGCCAATAGTACCAGAGAGGAGTGAATTTGGAAATTTTGAACAGAATTGGTCCAGGTACTTGAGCCAGAGGATGGAAAGGCGAAATTCGGTAGAGGACGATCGAAGTGGCCAAGACGGCGTAAAAGATCAAATATGCGCTGAGCACTAGATACCGCGGTGGCAAGCTGAAGTTATTAGCGGAGGCGGTCCATGACACGATACTGAGAACCAGAGGTTCTGAAAGCAGGAGAAGAACAGAAGGGACGAAGAAAGCATCCGTCGGTTCGTACTTGTGGAAGAAGAGATGATTGACCTTGGATGTTGCTCAGAATAGATTAGATTGATATAAATAATAAGATACTTACCAGTGCTAGGATACCAGCTTGCAGAATCATTATGGGAAAGCGCCCTGATGATTTTACGATGTGAGCTGTTCTTATACGAGTGAATACCTTGATCTTCGGTATAGAACGCCCCGAACAGGGACGGTCAAAAGGCTCAAAAACCCATGCTTATCGGTACTGGGACACCTGGCAGGAAGACAGGGAGATTACTATAAAAGTAAG